AACAAAACGTCAGCTAAACCATGCTGAAGTTCAAAAAATACAGAACAAAGCTTCAGCTAAAACATGGTGAAGTTCAGCAAAATACAGAACAAAGCTTCAGCGAAAAACATGCTGAAGTTCAGCAAATACAGAACAAAGCTTCAGGTGCTAGAATGCTGAAGTTTATCACAAACAGAACAAAAAACTTCAGCTAAAACATGTTGTAGTTTTACAAAACACAAAAATAAAAAACTTCAGCTCAAAACTTACACGACATATTGTGTTGACTAATTCATCATTGTCAAACGCCATTGTAGAACGGTTAGAATGACTCTGGGTACGGGGTGATTCGCCAATTACAAGAGTTCGATTGGCTTCTTTTGATAGACTCCGACTACGTGATGATTCACCAATTACAGGAGTTCGATTGGATTCTTTTGATCGACTCCGACTACGTGGTGATTCACTAGTTGATGGAATCGGATTCAGTACCTTTGAACGAATCCGGCTGCATGGTAATTGTCCAATTAAAGGCATTGAATTCAAATCCTCTTCGGTAGGATTATATCCACTATCCTAAATGTCTGATGTTTTTTTTTAATACAAAAAAGTATATTATGAAAGTAAAATAAAACTGATACGTCAACATATTAACACAACTACAGAAGAAAAGGAAAAATAAAAAATATTAACTTACACCATGATTGCCGAAGTAATCCTCATAAAGTTCTTTATATTTAGGCTCTCTCAAATATACATAACGTAACATCCTGGGAACCTGAGGGGCATCAAAGAAGTCTTCCTCTTTTAAATACTTCTCCTGAATATCTGGGAAGCGTTCATAGAACCAAACACATAGTGGAAATGGAAATCCACCTACAGTATACTCAGTTGGTTTCTTTTTGTCCTGGTTGTCCAAAGAATGTTTCATTGAGGCAATGAGCTTCTCATAAGACGCATTACCCCAAGGATAATCAGCACAAGTCTTATCGTCTTCAACAATAGCTGCATACTCCGCCGACACAGTTGATTCATTCTTTTTTCCAAACAAAATAGACTCCACAACAAGAATTTTCATAAGCTTCACAGCATCTTCATCACTCTCGCATACGTGTTTGAAATTCACATCATCCTTTTGAATTTTATTCCGGGTCATATAATCTCGAATGTTCTTCAAGGTTACACCCTTAGACTTACCAAAATAGCGCTTCAGAATCTTGCTCTCTTGTTTAACTGGTTTTTCAACATTATGTGTTGTGACCCTCAAACCGCACATAATATGAAAGTCTTCAAGACTGAACGACACATTATGAACAAAAATCTTGAAACTAATGGAGTCTCGATCATTGGTGAATACGCGAGAAATAATCAAATAATAAACCAACTTCATGCTGCAATGGAAATTCTCCATAGCCATAATATACCGAAATGTACCATTATTCAGCTTCTCCTGTTCTTTAGGAGTCAAGAAAGTTGCAATATAATACTTCAATCCGTTGTTCCCCTTCCAGTAAGCACGACAGTTAAACCAATCTCCAAACTCATAACATATGTCCCTTGATTTTGTAGGTAGAGCAATAGGTACTGAAGGAGATTTGCGTATTCTACGTGCTTTAGGATCTTTAGGTGCTTTAGGATTCGTAGATGCCATCTGTTCAAAAAAAAGATAGGAAAAATAACATCAGAACATTATAAAAAAAATCAGTTAAAACTTCAGGTCTAAGAAGGCTGAAGTTCAACAAATATAAAACAAAAACTTCAGCTCCTAAATGCTGAAGTTCAGCAAATACAAAACAAAACTTTAGCTCCTAGTATGCTGAAAGTTCACCAATTACAAAACAAAAACTTTAGCATAAACTCGAAGTTCAGCAAACACAAAAACAAAAATTTCAAGACTATAATGCTTAAGTTCAACAGTTACAAAATAAAAACTTCAGCAAAAACTCGAAGTTTAGCAAACACAAAACAAAATTTCATCTTCTAGAAAAACTGAAGTTACAAATACAGAACACAAATTCAACTCCAAATAATGCTGAAGTTCATAAAATAATATAACAAAATAAAACTTCAGCTCCTAGAATTAAGTTATCATTGAAGTATTATAAACTTCACACTTTAATAGCATCATCTATTTTACACTCAATTAGGTGCATGGAGGCTTCAGTTTTGGGGAGAGGAATGGAGGAGGTACATCGTTGTTGGACTTCGCTAAGGCTTTTGGGTTGGTGATTGCGAACTCTAGATTTCGTAAGAGGGAGGGGCATTTGGTTACTTTTCAAAATGCGGTGGCGAAGACCCAGATTGACTATCTCCTCCTCAGGAGGTGTGACAGAGGGTTGTGCAAGGATTGCAAGGTGATTCCGGGTGAGATACTCGCGATGCAGCATAGGCTCTTGGTGATGGACGTTGGTATTATGTTAAAGAGGAGGAAAAGGTTTACTCGAGAAAGACCGAGAATCAGGTGGGGAGCCTTAACTAAGGATAAAGCCCAAGCGTTGGAGGGGCGGTTGTCGGCTATGGGAGCTTGGAGGAGTAGTGGTGACGCGAGCACTATGTGGTCAGCGACAGCAGACTATATTGGGAAGGCTGCGAGAGAGGTGTTAGGGGTCTCGATGGGCGTATCTGGTGGGCACAAAGGAGACTGGCGGTGGAATGAAGTGGTCCAAGGTAAAGTGGAAGCAAAGAAGGCGACGTACCTAAAGTTAGTAGGGAGCATAGGTGAGGAGGAGAGGCGAGTGTGCATGGAGAGGTATAAGGCAGCTAAGAAGGAGGCTAAGTTGGCGGCCACAGAGGCTAAGACTGTGGCTTATGGTCGTATGTACGAGGAATTGGGGAAAAAAGGTGGGGAGAAGAAGTTATTCCGGCTGACCAAGTTGAGAGAGAGGAAGGCTCGGGATTTGGACCAAGTGAGATGCATCAAGGACGAAGATGGTAGAGTATTGATGGAAGATGCCCAGATTAAGAGGAGATGGCAGACTTACTTTCATAAACTTCTGAATGAAGAAGGGGATCGGGATATTGTGCTAGGCTAATTGGAGCATTCCGAGAGTCACCGTGACTTTGGGTACTG